TTGTCTTTCCCACTACCTAGAATGAGCTTCCTCTATTCTCATCAATTAGAACGCCCCTGTTTCTTCAGAGCCCAATTTAGGTGTCACTTTCTCCAAGAAGACTTTCATGATCCACCTAGCCCACTCCTTGCCAAGTGAAATTGAACTTATTCTACTCAATTTAATCATGCATAGCAATGTTTCTGGAAATTTCTTTTGAAATTTTCCTGTATTTCTTTGTATCATAGTAAATGTATTTCTGTCTATTGGACTGCTCCTTGAGATGAAGGTGAGTGCTATCTTTTTACCTCTGCTATCTTAGTATGGTACATTGTCTATAGTAGACACTTAATGCTAGTGTCTTCGCTTTGTTATTATGGATAATTTGTCCTGTGAGTGTCTCACTTGTGCTTAGTGATTTGTATGTTGTCTCCCCCACTAGACTTAGCTCTTTGAAAGCAGGAACTATTTTTTGTTTGTTTTTGCCTTTCTTTGTATTTCTACTGTCTAGCACAGGGCTTGGTAAATAGTAGTAATTTAATAAATGCTTATTGACTTGCCTTGTTGATTGATTCAGCATTTGTTGAGTTGAATCTATTGGGTTTAAATTACTTCTAATCCTTGGCATTTTGGTGAGCATTGTCTGTTCCATCATCCATTGCTACTATGATATCCCAGAATGCCTTTTGGAAAGAGCGAAACAAACATTTATTATGCACCAGGTACTGTGTTAAGCACTTTATAAATATTATCTTATTTGAGCCCTCATAATAACTCTGCAAGGTAGGTGCTATTATTATTCCCACTTCCCAGCTGTAAAAACTGAGGCAGACAGAGGTTAAGTGACATGCCCAGGGTCACACAACTAGTAAGTATCTGAGACCTTCTGACTCCATGGGCAATTAGGTGGCACAGTAGACAGAGTGCAGGACCGGCAGTCAGGAAGACTCCTCTTCCTGAGTTCAAATCCAGCCTCACACACTTACTACCCATGTGACCCTGAGCAAGTCATTTAACCCTGTTTGCCTTGGTTTCCTCATCTGTAAAAATGAAGAAAAGGAAATGGCAAACTATTCCAGTATCTTCACCAAGAAAACCCCATATGGGGTCATGAAGAGTCAGACACAACTGAAAATGATTGACAACTTCCCGACTCCAGGCCCAATACTCTATGTGTACTACCTATCTGCCTTTTGTAAATGATATATTTACATGCATCTACACTATTGGACTGCAAAGGCAGGATATAAACATACTGCAAAGAAATACATGTATCCAAAGAGTCATGGTTAGTTGATAATGTCTTTCAATTTTGACCACCAAATGACAACCTAAGCTTAATGAAGAGAAAGAACTAATCAGTCATTGAATAAAGTCAATCATATGATAGCATTTACTGAATGGGAGTTGTGGAAGACTACTGGGAGTGATAAACCATCCCCCTCTATAGTCTCTTCAAGGCATTAGATGTTTCCTTTACATTTCCCTAAATAAATATTTGTACAAGTATATGTCTAGAAGTCTCATGCTTTTAATATTGTTCTTTTTATTGATTATAGTTTTCCCAAGGGTAACCATAAATTTTTTTTTGCTAGGGTTTGAAAATTGAAAAAGAAAATAGAAGTAACCTCATTATCAGGCAAATGCTTTTGAAACAAGATTAACTCACAAGTGGTAGAAGCCAGGAAGTTCAGTAATTATTTGGTCTAGATATACTTTTATTTATCCAAGAAGCACAGAATCTCCTGGCAACTGCCCTCATTATGTAGCAATATCATGCTGGTCAACAGGTTAAAGAATGTCCTCTGAAAATCAGGAAAAGATTGAGCATTTACAAGTCAGAATTTTTACCCTGGAAGATAAAATATTGTAAGCTCTCTCTCAGCATCAAAAAGCAGCTTTACAACCAATATACTCTTCTGCCAATGACTGATACCCTTGCCCTTCATATTTAAAGATGCCACTGCAGTTATTTTCTCTGCCAGACTTCCTTTCATCAGCAAAATTTACACTTGAGTTGTTTGAAGGAATAGGGCTTGAATTACACCATCCATATTATCTCTCCTGGGAAGAGAATGCAACTCAACTTTCATTCTGCTTTTCCCCTTGCCTCCTACATATTCAAAGATTAAGAAAAAAAATTAGTCCCCTGGTAGTTGGAAAGAATTCATGAAACTTCTACTTTCCTCTAAAGGTACTGTAATAGTTTAGGCTATCAAAATATTCAATAGTATTCTATTGAAAAAAGCCCACAAGTTCTATGTTGGTCAAGTTGGGGTATTCAATAGTTTATTGTAAGTCAAATAATTGGAGCTGCTAATACTTTTTTAAAAATAGTTTTTCTGCCTTTCTTACATTACAATTATCTCTGTATTGAACAAAATTGACTGTTTTGTTTTTGTATGTGAGAGAGTTCAATTCAATTTATGTTATAATAAAAAGTTTTGCTATGAATATTTTAGTATATATTAGTAATTTCTTTATGCCTTTGATCTTCTTGTATTACATGATCTTTTTTTATGGTAGGTTCAAATAATTAAGTCACTTTTGTCACATCATTCCAGATTGTTTCCTGGGACAGTAGGACCACTTAATAACCCTCCGAACTGTGTTCTTGTGTGCCTATTTTTCCATAGTCTGTCCAACATTGACTTTTTTATATCTTTGCCAATTTGCTAAAGGTGAGGTGAAGCCTCAAAGTTACTTTATTTTTCTCTTATAATTAATGACTGTAACTTAATTTCAGGTGATCATTGATGCCTTATAATTCTTCTTCTGAAAACTGATTGTTCAGAGATGCTAATACTTTTTAGTATCATCCTAAAAGGCAGTTTTGTATTTATGAAAACTTGACATACGAATAACCCAAACATGCAAATACTTTGTAGGGGAAAATGTGCTCCAAATTCCAAGTAGCTGAATACAATCAAACTTTTGTAATGCAGTCTGTTACAGTATCTTCTTCATGGAGTCTCCCCCACACCAAAAACAAAACAAAACAAAAAAAAGTTCAAACTCACAGTCTGCTTTTCTTGGGTTAGTGGCTGTGACCCTAGATCAAAAGGTATAGTCTGTGGCTCTGCACTCCTAAAATAGTAGCTCATAAGCCCCCACCATTGAATTTACCTTTAAAAGACAATGAGTAGACAAACAGCTCAAAACAAAAGCAATTTCTAAGATAGCATAGTTAGAACAATAGCATCAAAATTCCCTCTTCTTACACCTGGGGTACATTCTCCCACAAATATACTAAGCATCTGTGCAAGCACAGACTTAGAGTCTGTGGTATAGAGGCACACACTTAGGAAACACTTGTGTCTAGGGTCATTCATACTTTTGGTACATACATTCTTTTTTTTCTCTCATGGAGTCCTCCTGCTGTTCCCTTCTCAGTCCAGCATCTTTGCTGGGAAGGTCACCTAGATAAATTCCTCGAGCCTGGTCCTCTCCATCACTCCATTGCCAGGGCTAGTTCTCTCTTGAACCTATAGTCAGCTCTGAAATGATTTTTTGTTTTGAATTCTACTCTCCTCTGTGTTTGTGACTCCATGGAGAATGTGAGTCTCTGCTTCCTGTTGGAAATATCTGTGCTTCAAACTCTCTCGAACTGACAAACTCTGGAACAGTTCTACCTGGTGCATGACCAATCTTTTGCTTATAATTCAATCAAGGAGCCTTTTCAGATTTTGTAAAAATGATGCACGTGTCCTATCACTCAGTAACTCTTCCTTCCACAAATTTTTTTTCCCTCCACAGTAACTCTTATAACCCTCCTCTCAACTCACACAGCTAACCACTCCCCACATTCAGTCCAGTCCCTCATCACCACCTTCCAAGATTATAGGAATAGCCTCCTAATTGGTCTGTTGCCTCAAACCTCTCCACTCTCCAAATAATGCTCCTTATACCTGCTAAAGCGATTTTCCTAAAGTGCAGCTCTGTCCATATCATTTTTTCTTTATTCAATAAACTCCAATGACTCCCTATGGCCACTAGGAACATCCTCTGTTTAGTTACTTTTTTTTTTTTTTTTTTGGTCTAGGCCCCAAATACCTTTCTAACCTTATTATACATTACTTCCTATGCTCTAGTGAGCACTTAATAAATGCTTATTAATTGATTGGTTAAACATAATATTCCTGGATTTCTGGATGGATTTCACCAAATCTCTTATGATTTCCTTATCTTTTGTGGACAAAATGGAGAGATGTGGACTAAATGTAGAGAAGTTAGTTGGATTTGGAATTCGTTAATTGGTCAGTTCTTTGGACCAGTGCTCTTTCCACTACACAAATGTATCTGTCTCTCACTTATTCTTACTTAGATGGGCCTTTCATTTCCCTGGTGCAGGGACCCTCTTTACAGGTGTAGAATATAACTTCTCATGGCCAGGCATACAGTAGGGACTGAAGATATAAATTAGGCATCTGCCTGTTTCTAGTTCCTGGGGATAGGGAAAAGGGGGGCAGAGGGGAAGCAGGACTAGGGAACCACTCTGTATAATCTGGTATTACGGTATGATGGAAGCTTGAGTCTTTCAGTATGTGTTTGCAGTTATGCTCTTTTAAAAAAAAAATCTACAGGAATTCCACTGCCACGAGAGAGTAGAGTAAAAGATGGGGGGTGGGGGTGGGGGTGGAATGAAAAACAACCACAAGACCAGGGGGGAAAAGGCTTCATTCAGTAAGGAAAGGAATAGTGGACCACTATGTATTACTCTGTGCACTTTGGCACGGTCCCCTTTGCTTTTGGCCAATTTTTCTGTTTGGAGCGGGAGCCCAGGGATTATTCCATCAACTTCCAGGCAGAGCTGAAAAGAACTAATTGAGCAGCAGAAGCCGCGGGTGTGTGTCTGGGTTTGTGCGCGTGTTTGCACAATACTCTTTCCTGTTATGACTGCCGGCCAGTTTGGGTCTGGCCAGTTGGGGGTCTTGGAGTGAGGAGGGAGGGTGGGTGGGATCGGGTGTGTAAATCTATTTGTTCTCCGTCCCCCTTACTAGCACCTCGCTTTGTCCCTGCAGCTGAGAGAGTCGGAAAGCATCGCGGCGAGCAGCTGCCGGTAGAGATGGGTTCTGCCTCCTCCAGCTCCCAGTTCACCTCCAGCCGGGTGCTAGCTCTGGCAGCCCTGGCGCTCGTCCTACTGCTCTGCCTGGGGCCAAGTGAGTGAGACCTCTGCACCGTGTGGCGCTGTCTGGGCTGAGAAGCGGAGGGACTTGGGAGGGCCGGAGGAAGTGCCCGGTAGCACTGCACTTGGCCTTGCAACAAGGAAAGCTGCCTGTGCTAGGGACATGGGATGGGATGGGACGGGACGGGACGGGATGAGATGAATGAGATGGGGTGGGGGGAGGAAAAGATGGTCAGGAAGAAAACCAGCCTACATTATCCCCGGAATGGGGAGAGAGGGAGGATGGAAAGCTCTTGGAACTTAGGGATGAAGAGAAAGAAGGCAACGGCCGCTGCAAGTGGGTCTAGATTAGATAAGCAGGTGCTTTGGTGAAAAGATCTGTGAAAGAAATGTGAGTTCGAGCCTTAGTGCTGATCTTCACTGCTGTGTATGACCACAAACAGGTGACTTAATACTTCTGACCCTTTTTTCATCTGGGTGTAAGAGGCAGGTTGCCGGGGGGGGGGGGGGTGGAAATTGAGGGTCCACTTCTGAATCAGAAAGAGCTGAGTTTGAGATCTGCCTCAGACTTGCTGGTTGGGTAACCTTGGGTGAGTCACTTAACTTCTCAGTGCTCTTAGATAACTATCTAAAATGGTAAATTGCAGAGCAGGAGTTCTCAACATAGGTGAAATTGCAGGTCCACACCCCACTCCCAGAACGCCCCAATGGCGTACCTTCTTCATACGGTCATGTGAGGAAAGTTCTCTGTAAACCTCAAGAAAGTGAGGGAAAGTGGATGGAAATTCTAAGTCTTCTAGTAGACAGAAGGGGCCTCCTTGATGAGGAAGATAAGGGACTGATTAGGAGTCCATTTTAGGTTTTCAGGTGTATATGCTCATGAACAGGTGGAGATGCTGAGAATTGCTCCCTATTTGGGCACTTCTCATTCTTTCCCTCCTCTTCTTACACTATCTGCCCCTAGAGAATTTTGTCATTAAGCGACGGGGTGACAGGGGAAGTAAAATGATATCACCTTTGGGGTTCCTCATTTCTTTTGTCATAAAAAAATTTACTTTTGTAGTACAGGTTAGTAGCAGCCCAAGTCTGAGGCTTACAAGGACCTTTTGAGAGTCATTTTACTCTTTGCTCTGCCTAGTCAAGGAAAGAAGCAATGAAAATACGTTTGGTAATTAGCAAGGCAGTGGACAGTACAAGCTTAGTTTGAATTTAAGATCTGCATTCCAAATGGGGATCAAGAACAAAGTTCTCTGGGAAGAAGAGTGAGAATCTATTCACATTCTGTTTGAACCGAGTGGGCAAAGCTAAGATCAATAGGTAGAGGACAGAAGTAGATTTCAGCTCCTTGTCAGGAAAAACTTCCTATCAATTAGGAAGTAGAATGTACTACCTCGGTAGACAGTGAGCTTTCCATCACTAAAAGTTTTCTGACAGGGGCTGGTTAACAGCATCTCATGGATGGTGTTCCTATTTGAGTAGCATTAGATTACTTTAGAAGTTCCTTCCTACTTTGAGATTTTATAGATAGGACCATAGCTCTGGAGCTGGAAGTGATGTCAGAGGTTTTCTGGTCCAATGACTTCATTTTTCAGTGAGAGAAACTAAGGCCCAGGGAGATGAGGTGACTTACCCACCATCAGGTATTAACTATCAGAGGCAGGATTTGAACTCAGGATCCCTGATTCCATAACTCATGCTCATTTCACTATATAATATGCTTGTGAAAGTTCATGAGATGGGTTGCAGACACTTGAACTAAAAGAGAGTTGTGAGGACACACAGGGTTATTAATATTTGAATTTCCATCATATGGTTGGCCTCCCTGACTTTTAAAAAGGGACTAGTTAGATTGAACATTACCTATGAGTTGTTATTTTCTATAGTTATTTGTTAAGTTAGTGCAAAGAATTCAGTATTTTGTAATGAAATGTTCCTATATATATTTATAAATACAAAGGGTCTATCCTATATTTCTCAGAAATGTTTGGGAGCATTTACATTTACATATACATATACACACACTTGAATAATGTACTAATACAATTAATATTCATCTATCATCATGAAGTAAATTTGAACTGCTTGGGAGATTCAATGCCAATAAAGACGACAGGGCTTTAGTGTCCAACTTCAATAATGTTCAGCTATGTCTGACTCTTCATGTCCCATCTTCCTCAGCTGTTGAGTCGTTTTTCAGTCTTGTCCCACTCTTCTTGATGCCGTTTGGGGTTTTCTTGGCAAAGATACTGGAGTGATTTGCCATTTCCTTCTCCAGCTCATTTTACAGATGAAGAAACTGACACAAACAGGGTTAAGTGACTTGCTCAGGGTCACAAGAGCTAGATTTGAACTCAAGAAGATGAGTCTTTTTGACTCCCTATAATCCTGTAACCTATCCAATGTGCCACCTAGCTTCCACCTCTCTCAATGACATTAACTAGTAATGTTGAGAGGGAAAATCTATGATACAGATTTCCCTATGACAAATGTAGTTCGATTTTAATTACCTATTTTATGGCTTACTTTGCACTGATTGAAGTGAGGGCACAGCATCTCATGGATGGTGTTCCTATTTGAGTAGCATTAGATTACTTTAGAAGTTCCTTCCTACTTTGAGATTTTATAGATAGGACCATAGCTCTGGAGCTGGAAGTGATGTCAGAGGTTTTCTGGTCCAATGACTTCATTTTTCAGTGAGAGAAACTAAGGCCCAGGGAGATGAGGTGACTTACCCACCATCAGGAATTAACTATCAGAGGCTTACTTTTTTTTTTTTTAATGGCTTACTTTGCACTGATTGAAGTGAGGGCAAAGATAATAAATGTTTACTTGAGAACTTGAGATTTAAACTGATCATAGAATTTAGAACTAGGAGATCTTTACAGATCACTGAATCAAGAAGACCTTAACCTTGGATATGAAATACATATATACATGTGTGTGTTATATTTGTAGACAAATAAATTTTTGTGTGTGTATGAAACAAAGTAAATAGAGTTATAAAAACCAATTATATTGAAATAGTTATTAAAATATATGATTTATATATGCATAAATATTGGTATATTTAGATATAAATGTATATACATTATGTATGTATGTATACATGTATTATGTGCATTATATACATGTATTTATGCATATAAATAACAAAGTAAATATAATTATAAAGGAAGCCTGTTATGTCAAAATGATTATTTAAAATACATAATTTTATATATACAAATTTGTCCATATATATAATTTCTCTATGTATCTATAAATAACAAGCAAGTAGGATTATAAAGTAAATAAGTTATATTGAAATATATAAAAGATATACATTATGTGTGTGTATATTTATACATATATGTATATGTACACAGTAATAGATCTGAAATACGACCCAAAGCTAACCCTCAGTTCAGTGCTTTTTTTCAGTACTTATGTTGTTTTGTTTGGCAGGCAATTCTATGTTAATTTTAAGAAAGTACAACCGAATCATCAATCCCTAAAACCAGTTCAAATGTGAAAATCAAAACTATGTCTTATTCTTTAATCTTTAAAGGTTTTATACAAGAAGTGAACAGTACCTGGGACCATCTAATCTTGTATATATGGCAATCCAGGAATTGTGAATATCATCTGTTAAATGACAAACTGATAGATTGTCATGTGGGTGATTTGAGAGCCAGCCTGTGTGGACTTGGTCAAACATTTAAAAGTAAATTATAGTACCAATCCTCTAAATGTTTTCTTGGATATCATTCTGTCAAGCCAGGACTGTTATTTCCTAACAAAATGTTCTCAGTACCTAGAAACACTTTCAGAACTGGGCTAATTCTGGCAATCATCACTGCAATCAATGTTTTGTTGGAGCTGTCCTAGCTTGTCTCAGGATAGGCAAACCTGGATAAAGTGTTTTGTGACCTCAGAACAATAGTTTTCCCCAATTTTATCTCCCGTCATTTTGTTTGAACATTATTTGACTATATGGTAAACATACAAAATATGGAACATCAATGGTAGAATGGACAGAGTGATGGGTTTGGAGTCAGACCTCCCTCAGACACTTGTTATCAGCATGACTGTGGGCAAGTTACTCACCCTCTCTCACATTGAGTTTCTTTATCTGTAGCATGAGGGGATTGGACTTAATTGTCTTTAAGTTTTAAATCTCTGACCCTAAGAGTGATATGCTACAGGTAGTTAGAAGAGCAAGCTTTGTTCAAAAAAAAAATTCTAGAAAACTTGGGAGAAAAAAAAAATTCAGTTTGTCATTTTAATGAAAGAAAGTGGGGGAAGGTACCACCTGGAGAAAAATTCATGAAAATATCCTGATCCATAATAAGATGCAAATATATTCTGCCTTAAATGACTCTTGTCATTGGTATACTCCTCTTTGGAAACATTTGCTCCTTGCTGCTCTTCTATGTAGAAGGGATTGGGAAGATAATTCTTTTCACAGAATCTCAGTTGGAACAGATCTTAAAAGACATCAAATTTAACCTATGGGACCCTCCTCTACAAAATCCATGACAAGTAGTCATTCGATCTCCATTCAAAGACTTTTGGTAAAACCACTGCCTCCTGAGGTAGCCCATTCTTCTTTTCTGGATTGGTGGGAGGTTTTCCCTGACATTCGGCATAAAATTGCCTCTTTGCATCTTCCAACTACTCTCCAGTTCTATCCTCTGGGCACAAGCCCAGATCTAACCCACCTTCTTTCTAACAGCCCTTTAGATATTGAAGATAGTTGTCATTTCTCACCTAATCATTGTCTAAGCTGAACATCTCCAATTTCTTTAAGGTGTCCTTTTGTGAGAGGGTGTCCAGTTTCTCGGCCATCCTGGTCTCCCTCTTCTGGACTTACTCTAGTTCAGGGGTGGGGAACCTGTGGCCTCCAGGCTACATGTGGCCCTCTAGGTCCTCAAGTATGGCCCTTTGGCTGAATCCCCTTAATAATTTGTTCTGTAAAACTTGGACTCAGTCAAAATGCTGCACCCGAGGACCTGGAGGACCACATGTGGCCTGAAGGCCACAGGTTCCCCACCCTTGATCTATTAGTCCATCAGTGTCTTTCCCAAAAGTTAGTGCCCAGAATCAAACACAATATCCCATATATGGTCAGCTAGGGTGGAGTACAGCAGAACTGCCAATTCCTTTATATTATATATCATGTCTCTCTTAAAACATCCTGTTTGAATTTACCTTTTTTTCTGTCTGTTATATCAAATTGTTGATTCATAATGAGCTTGTGGTTGGTGTTGTTTAGTCATTTCAGTCATGTCTAACTCTTCGTGACCCAATTTGGGGTTTTCTTGGCAAAGACACTGGAGTGGCTTGCCATTTCCTTCTCCAGCTCATTTTACAGATGAGGAAACTGAGGCAAATAGGGTTAAGTGACTTGCCCAGGGTCACACAGCTAGTCCGTGTCTGCGGCTAGATTCAAACTCAGGAAGATGAGTCTCCCTGACTCCAGGCTGGCCACTCTATTCACTTTGATGCCTACCTGCCCCCTCTGTTTCCCAAGCTTTGATCTTTGTTTTAGAGTGATTAAAGGAAACCATGCAACCCTACAGCTAATCTTTATTTTTCCTCCTTTTAGATGGCACAAGAGCAAACAAGCTCAAGCTTATGCTTCAAAAACGAGAAGGTAAATAGACTGAAATGTTAAAGTCTTGTGTTCTTGGTGGGTTTTAAGCATATCAAAACAAAGTTGTGAAGGCTCTCTCACCTGGAGACATGCTTTCAAAAAATCAAAAGTATTTCTGCTTAGTCAATTTGAAGGTGTGTATGGAGTGTTATGTTAGCTTAATAATCTTGCTGATAAATTGATAAAGGTTGTTCCTCTAGAAATCTGTCAGTGTGAACTGAGAAAACAGAACCACAATGTTTCAGTGTTAATTGAATTTTGATTCTTTTTAAAACCATGGGACATTTTAGAGTACGTCTCTCTAAATTCAAGTATTTTTCTTTCTAGTTTATTGTTCTTTGAAGTGCAATAAAATTTCAATCTCGTGGAATATTTAGGGAATGCAGCTGTTCTGGTTAATTGAATTTTCTATGAGCTGAAGATTAAATAGAAAACTCTTTTTGTCTTCAACCATTGTTACTGAAGATATTTCTTAAATCATATTCTTTTTAACTGGTAGCAACCTGAGAGATCATCTAGTCTTACATATTTTAAAAACAATTAAGAAAGAAATAACAACATTAAACAGCAACATAAACTATACTTGCTTAGTGGCATTTACATTTAAATTTCTATTCATAAAGTTTTATTACCTTTTTTTTAAGACCTTCCTGCCAGGCTTCCATTGATACATTCACTTTCCCTCCTATGTTCATAGGTAGAGAGTATTCCATTCTTCTATCTGGTTCTCCTTTTCATTTTTTCTTTGCATTATTTCCAAAGATTTTTTCCCCCCAGGTCTTCTTTATATCCCTAATTGTTTGCTTACTTGATTTAATAATACTGCTATGCCACAATATATTTAACGACTTCTCTATGGTTGGAAACATACCCTAAAAATGTTATAAAAGACAAGAGCTCAAAGATTCTCATAACAGTATTGTATATAATTTAAAAAAAAACACACTGGAAGCAATCTTGATGTCTTAAGTGCTTATGCCTTGGTAAATACAATACGGAGAAGGATCATTTCATTTTTTTATATTCATAGCCTCAGTACCTAGTACAGTGCTTAGAACATAGTAGAAGCTAAATAAGTGCTTATTGATTAATTGATAGTGAGATCTTTCTTCTCTCATTCAGTATCTTGCAGTGCTCCTAGATCCAGACACCTGGTTCTGCTATTGTGACCTTGAGAGGGCCACCCACATTCCTGGGCCTGAGTTTCCTTATCTGTAAATTGGTGTCGGACCCAATGAGCCCTGAAATTGTTCCTTTCAGTCCTAAAATTATATATTTCTAGGATTCTGGACATTAATGATCTTTGTCCTATATTACAAATATATCTGTAATGGAGGATTGGCACTTCCTGGGGAAGCAGGGTGGATGATGTCATTTTTGGTGATCTAAATATATGCCAAACCCCTATTATACATTAAAAATCGTAACTTTACATTAAAAGATTGTAATTTTTATTTTTATTTTTCAGTGTAGGTAACTCCCTACACTGTTTCCTGGAATATTCTCCTTCTTCATCTCCATATTTTGCAGTCCTTAGTTCCCTTTAAAACTCAGCTCAAGTGTTCTCTATTATAGGAAGCCTGTCTTAATTTCCCCTGGTTATTCATGCTTTCCCCCCCAGAACAGTGCCTGTCACATACTTAAATTCTTGTTGAATTGGATTGTATTTTTCCTGTCTTAGAGGAGAAGAAGCTTCTTCTGATTTGCATCCTGGGCAGAAAGATATGGGCCTACAAAGTACTTGATTAGGCACTATGCCTGTAACTGAAAGGTTCCATGCTTATACTTTAACGGGCTTTTTGTGCCCACAGGCTGAATGTAGCTCATTGATGGTGGCAGAAGGCTTGTGGTCAAGCTTCATTGCATAGGCCCCTGGGATCATTAGTGGAATAGCAGTTCTATCCAGGGATTGGGGAGTTCCTGGACCTTGGAAGCTCTTCAATGACATATATCCCCCTCAACCTCTCCAATTTGTCCTCCAAAGAAATAGGACTTAATAAACCAACATGTAGAAGCATGTGTAGGTGATAGAGCCATTGGTCACTAATATTGAGGCTATATTTTTCAGCATGGCATGGTAGGAATGGAGTCATGAAGGGGATATAATGCATTTTTATATTGATTCAAGGCAGAAAAATCATGTCATGTACTTTGGGGGGGTGGGGGAATTAATCATTTCAGCATCTGATCCAACTAAGACAGAGGTTTCAGTAGGTGAAAACAAAGCAAAGGAATTTTTAAGCAACATGAAACGCCAGAAACGCCAGCTATGGGACCGAAGTCAGCCAGATGTACAGCAGTGGTACCAGCAATTTCTCTACATGGGTTTTGATGAAACTGTAGGTATACTTTTTTTAAATCCTGGGATGATCTGGGGGAAAGGTGGAATGAGGGTACTGAGGATCCAAAACATTAACTATTGGTTTTCTTTAGTTTGTGTATATGTTACTTTTTTTTTAAGTTTTACTGATATATTTTTTAAAATTTATATCATTTTCTGATATCCCTCTCTCCCTATCTCAAGAGTCTTGCCTTGTCACAGAGAAAAACAGTTGAATAAAACTAGCCAAAATAGGGACTATGTCTGACATAACATATGCCATATTCTGTACCTGTAATCCCGCACCTCTCACCCCAAATAAGTAAGGGGTGTGTGTGTGTGTGTGTGTGTGTGTGTGTGTGTGTTTGTGTTTTCCATATGTCCTCTGGAACTAATATTGGCTATTGCCTTTAACCTAAGTTCTACAAATTACTTGTCTCCCAATGACATAAGACTCTCAGTTGGAGCTTTTAGCCCTATATTAACTAAATTTGGCAATAGAATAATATCTTTGTACTGGTCTGCCTAGATCAAGAGACACTGCCTTCCAGTATGTCTGGGAGGAAGGTTTGCTGAGGCATACATTTAACTTCATTGCCCAGTCTTTCCCTGGATCTCCTGAGAGTATCTGGTGTCATGAGCATGAACAAGTCTTCCAACCTCACCTCAAAAATGTCAAAAACAACAAAGTTGGGGCTATGGGATGTGAGAACAGGGGAGGGGGATAAAATGATATTTAAAAGAAAACAGGCATTCATTCATAGATGCTTACAGGGTGATTTCCAGAAATATTGTAGTAAAAGCAAGATTTTCAGTCCATCTACACCTAGTCCAAAGCCATAGTTGAAAGATTCCCTGGGCTAACATAGATAGATAGATAGATAGATAGATAGATAGATAGATAGATAGATAGATAGATAGATAGATAGATAGATAATATTTGCCTCATGCATAGAAAATAAATACATGATATTTTAGAACTTCTGTTTTATCTAGAACCTCTATTTTAGAACTTTTTTTTTTAGAATAATTGTAGCAGGGAAACGTTAGAGATACTTTAAAATCTTGGATCCTCCTGGCTTCTGGAATATTTTTGCAGAGAATGAATTGGCAAAAATAAAATCAGCATCATTAGAGTTGCGTGTATTATACATGGGATCGAAAACACTGTTAGGTTTGCAGGGGAAGTCTTCATAGGAAAAACTCTAGCTCATGCCAGCAGAAGGTGGAGGGAGAGTGAGAAGAGTCATGGAACTGAATGCCCTTTGCCTCCAATGAGCATTTCATGGGTGGCCTCTCTGAGTGGGGCCACTGGAAATATTCAGCAGGAGAACTCAGAATCTGACTCCCATTTTGGAGTGGGTGGTACAACATAAGTACTCAGTAGGAATGATGAAAAAAAATGTATTTTAAAGCTAAATTCCAAACTAAGCCTAGGAATGAGAAAAACAAGGATTGGGCTTAAATTTAAATGAGGATATAAAAGACAATTGTAAAAAAAAAGTTAACAAAAAAGAGAAGACCAGGACATCTTGAAGAGAGGTAGACTTACCTCATTGTGCCACTTCTCTTTCCTCATGAGTACTTTGGACCCAAACTGGAATATAGCAAAGGTAACTGAGGGTAGTGAAGTGGTACGGGGCAGCTAGGTGATATGGCCGATAGAGCACTATGCCTGGAGTCAGGAAGACCTAAATTCAAATCTGGCATCAGACACTTTGTACCTGTGTGACCCTGGGCAAGTCATTTAATCCTGTTTGCCTCAGTTTGTTCATCTGTAAAATGAGCTGGAGAAGGAAATGGTGAACCATTTCAGTCAGTATCTTTGTTGAGAACACCCCAAATGAGGTCATGAAGAGTTGGACACGACTGAAAAACCTCTCAACAACAACCACGACAGATGGGACAGAGGAGAGAGCTACACTTCTAGTACATCCCTTCCAGGCACCCCCAAAAAAGCCACAAAGAAAGCGATGTCCAAAGAGCTCACATTCACATAGGTTTTGAAAAGCACAGAATAGTACAGTAGAAGGAATATTGGAATTAATATCGGAGAACTGGGGTTCACATTCCAGCACTGCCAGTGTTACTCGGGGTCAGTCATAATCTCTTTGAGCCTTAATCTCCTCATCTGTAAAATGAAACATGGGACTACAAGGCCTTTAAAGCCCCTTGCAGCTCATATCTATGATTCTATTATCAAGTTCCTAGGGAAATATACCTGATGTCCTTTACAAAATTTCTATGATCTCTTTCAAGACCCACATCCTCTAGTGACCTAAAATACTATAAAGATATGCTATAATCGTACCTCAACCTATAATGATAGGTTTGACTTTCTATAATACAAGTAACCTATTTGCTGTTGTTGTTCAATTGTTTCAGTCGTGTCTCCCCCATTTGGAGTTTTCTTAGCAAAGATACTGGAACGGTTTGCTATTTCCTTCTCCAGCTCATTTTACAGATGAGAAACTGAGGCAAACAGAGTTAAGTGACTTGCCCAGTACACACAGTAGTCACACAGTAGCAAGTGTCTGAGGCCAGATTTGAATGCCTCAGAAAGATGAGTCTTCCTGACATCAGATCTGGAACTTTAATCCACTGTACCACTTAGCTACCCCATGGTTCCATTACTTATTTGTATGTTATTATTAATTTTTACTTCAATTCAAGAAAGATTCTTCAAGCTCCTATTGTATGCAAGGCACTATGCTAGGTGCTGGTAAATGCAAATATAAGAAAAATGGTCCCTGAACTTGAGAAATTTACACTTGAGTGAGGAGGATAAGACAAGGAGACACATAGCTTTATGACAAGGCAGAATGATGAATGTCAGAGAGAGGTACAGAGTGCCACAGGATTTTTAGGAACAAGAATTCATATTGATTTAAAGAATCCAGGAGAGTTTCGTGAAATATGTGGTATTTGACACGAGTCTTGATGGATGAATTAGATTTCAATAGATAGAGATGAAAGTTGCTGCTCTTCTAAGCAAAGGAAGGAACGTAAGCAAAAGCATGGAGGTGAGAAAGTTAGCAGGACTTATTTGAAAAACAATGAATAGAAGTAGAATTTGATGGGAACACAGGGCAATAGTGAGAAAGATAAAGATAGAAAAGGAGATTTGCACCATGACTGACACAGAGGACTTAAGACTAAGTATAGCGGGCAAGGGGAACCAGTAAAGGTTTTTGAACCTAGAATTAACATGATTGGAGCAACACCATAATTCAATAGAAAGAGAATTAAAATGAGATTCACAAGACCTGGATTTTTCCTTGTATTTTTATTCCCAGCACTCAGCAGCCTGGTACATTGTAAGTGCTTAATAAATGCATGTTGACTTGACTTGATCCTATCTCCTGAATTTCATGAGAACTGTTTCTAAGTTCAAAACAGTGTTTGTCCATGACAAGTGAAGACTCTTGATAAAATGACGGCAAAGAGCACTGACTTTACCTGCCTTGCCCTAACTAGTAAAACATTTGGTGGTCATGGTAGTGTTTGACAAAAGGCTTGAAGTTTCAGAATTAGAAGGACCTGGATTCAAACCCAGTCTCTGCCACATATTGGTTGTGTAACCTATGACCAGTCATTTAGTTGCTTGAGGCCCCAGGACCAGGCACTTGCCTACATTGGTAGAGAAAATTTACTCTAATATTAGTGAACTCCCAGGTCTGTATGTTAACAACATAAAAAAAGTCAAATCTAACACTGGACTTAAAAATAAGTCCTCATAACAGATAATTTAAAAAAAGCTAAAGTAAATTCCATTTCAGCTGATTATTATTTACTTCTGAACAGGAAAATAATGATGTACTTTCAAATATTTTTCATCAGTGCTAGTCTTTAAAATAAAAAAAAAGTCAAAAGACTTTATTTGGAGAAAGTGCTTGGGAGAAATCATTAAATTTGATGGGGGATAGCTTTTTGAGGGGAAAAGAATTGGAGGGGGCACTTACTTTACCGCAATTCAATATTCTTGCTATTCTTTTTGATTCAGAAATTTGAAGATGATGTTACTTACTGGATAAACAGAGGCCGGGATGGCCATGACTACTATGGAGGTTACTACCAGCGTCATTATGATGAAGATGCAGCCATTGGACCTCGGCATCCCCATGCCTTCAGGCACGGAGCCAGTGTCAACTACGATGATTACTGAGTGCCCTTTCTGATGCTCTGGATCAGGCACTTCGTTTTGTTTTTAAATTCATCTCACAGGGTTGTTGTGAGGATCAAAGGCAATAATGTGTATGCAAAGCACTTTGCAAACCATAAGCACCATATAAACGTGAGCTGTTATTATTCCTGTTTTACTAGTGTGTTTTGAAAAGATTTTTGCTTGTTATAAATCTAGCCACTGCCAAACAACAAAAAAAAAATCTCATCCGTGTCCTCCTATAAGTTCAACAAGAGTGGTCCACTCCACATACTGGAGGACTTCCTCATTTTTTCCTGTCATTGGGAGGAAGAAATGAAATTATACAAGAAGTCTAAAAAGTTTAATCTTAAGGCAGTATCTTAAGACTGCCCTAAGACTTTTGAGACACGCTGTGTATTAATTTTAAAGAAATAACACTAGTGTTTTATTTGCTTCTGTGTCCCTGTTTCTTGTGTATATCTTTTATCATATTTTGTTGCTTCTTTTTAAAAAAATATAATCATAGTCAGCAAGTATATTGTTGTTCTGATATTGTATCGTTCATTCTACATCTCTTTCTATAGATCTTGCCGTGTTTGTACTCTTATATTTGTCACTTCTGAATGGCACAATAATTCATTCTGATGTATTTTCTATCTCCTGCTATATTTCTGTTTTATTTTAATCCGTATATAGCTTTCTCTTTATGACTCTAATGCAATTGCTAAAGAACAATAGAAATGTCACCTGAAGTTTGATGTAGGTATGTATCGATATATTACATCTTATACTCAAAATAAACTTTTGTTTAAATATGCTTTTTGCTGCTTTCACTTGGTTAAAAATCAAGTTTATTTCAATATCAATTACTTTGTCATTAATGCATTTAATATTTCAGAAGTTTGAGAGATGACTGTGGGACACGAGAACAACAGGCCAAGATTCTTTTGTTAGCATTCTATTACGTCGTTAGGATTTCCCACATACGCTACCAAGTCTTCAACATAATACATTACGCGTAAGGTGCTGAATGGGAAGAGCCTTCACTTTAAATCCCAGACTATGCTAGATAGAATACATGAATACCGTGCTATGCGCTGAGGATACAAATTAAAAAGAAAACTCCCTTTCCTCAAGGAGGGGACATCTACTTTTTTAGGGGTTAAATGGCTTACCCATGGTCACACAGCTAGTAAGTATCAGGTGTTTGGTCTGAAGCCAGATTTGAACTCAAGTCCTCCTGACTTCAGGGCCAGGGCTCTATCTACTGCACCACCTAGCTGCCCCATCATCTACTTTTCTAATGAAGGAAATAACACATATATAGGAGAGTGGTGGCCACGGAGGAGCTCTTTGTTCAATAATGTTTCTGGGATAGTGAGTGAGGGCATAGGGAAATAGATGGACACATCCCGTCTAAGAACAAGAGCAAAATTGATTTGACCATGGTTCATGGTTCTACACCTGGAGGACATTAGGGAGGAAAGAGTACCTTTGATTGGCAGTTGGTTGAGGAAGCTATCAAGAGTTAGCCAGAGAGGACAGAGTAGTATTTGTAGTAGTCTATCAGTTGATTGGTGCCCTGGAATGGAAGTTTCTCCAGTTTGTGGTCTTTCTGTGGGTTGGAAAGTTGACTGTGGAGGAAATAGTTGGACAGGAAGGGGAGTGTTCTGCAAACCTGAGTCTAATCACTAATGAAAAGATGGACATTTCACAAAAAGGAGACATTCCTAAAATGTTTCTCCTCATTGCTCTGTTATCTCTCTAATCTGGCTTCTCCCAACTGGAAACATCTGTGAGTTTTTCCTGGAATGATGCTTTTATATAAATGGTCTGGTTTTAGGTCTAGACTCACATATAGCCCATGCTAGATATAGAATTATTAAGTCTTAATGGAGAATTAATAGAGGATTAGAAAAGTAGATGTCTGAAGAGTCTCTTTAGTAATCTAATGTCCTTTAAATCTATGATCTTGTAGTTCTTTGATTTGTTACCTAGCAAATGGGGGAAGGGCAAGAAAATACAACATCCTCAATAATTTTTATAAATAGCTAAGGCAGATGGGGATACTTTTTTCTATATATAACTTCTAACTCAAGAGAAGGCAAACACTGATCTGGGATTATATGAGAATGAAAACCAGTCTAATTTAGTCTTCATTTTTTAATGGAGACATATAAAAGGCTAAACTAAATTTTGAAATTAAGAATAGGGAACAAACAACTGTATTTAATACATATGTATACATGTATTTGTGTATACATCTATATATGTATGTATATAGAGTATGGCTAAAAACTTCATTATCCTCTTCAGAGACAACTTGACTTTCTTTTTTCTTTTTTAATGAAAAACCATTTATTGAATTCCTATTCCTACTAAGTTCCAAGTGCTATACTCAGTACTGGGGATGGATCACAAATTTAGAGAGACAGTCTATGGTCAAGGTCACACTTGGTGGGTGGGTGGGGAGGGGAAAACAACATATTAGAGAGCTTACTTGCTGGGTAGATAAAAAGTTTTTAAAAAGTTCTAAGTCCTGAAAGTCATAAGGATGCACACCAGAGGGGCAAATTGTGTGGCCCAGACAGGCATCTTTAGATTGTCAGAAGGTCAGATGATATTGGGATACAGTAGGGCATACAAGCAGGGCAAATGGTAAAGCCAGGAAGTCCTTAGAAAGCACAGAGGGCAATGTTTGTTTCCCAGCCCATTCTACCTGAAGGAAAAGTTGGTGACTCCCATTACCCCAAGTCATGTGAGCAGTCAAGCAGTCTGGATTGGTTTCTAGGTGATCTGGAGCAAGAGTTGAGCAAGTCAGAGTTCAGTTGGTTATGACAGAGATGAGGATATCTGCCTTTCTCTTATTGTTAGTACATGTGAACAAGTCCTATAGTTGTTTATAGTATGTTTATAATATAGTATATAGTATTTTTTGTTTATAGTATTGAAGAAAAAATAGCACATAGAAAAATTGAGAAAGGATGTGAAGAAAAAAATTACCAAAGAGAGCCATGGAAGATAGCTCAGACAGAAGGGGGAGGGTGGGAGGAGGGTAAAGAGAAAATAATTTGGAAATTATATTTCAGGGTTAAAGAGAATGACACTTTAAAACCATCTCCAAGTATTGAGTTGAGTCTTCTCACGTCTTTCTTGTTGCTTCTCTGGCTAATCTTTGAGTTTCAGCACTGCCCTCAACTTTTGACCAAGCAGGTATGTACTTCCGCTCAACATCTATGTTCCGAGTCATATTATCCAGCTTAGTGAATTGGTCTCTGTGGACAACGTCTGTATTTTTACTTGTTTTCCAGCCATTTTCTTTCTGCTTGACAATCCATTCATTCATACCTTTGGTGATAAGTTGGTTATCTGTACACACAGTAATTCCATTCCATTTTTTGGACCTTTGCTTGCTCAATCATTTTGGTAGCTGCTTCTAATGATGCTCTTTGGTTTGTCTGTTGTCCAGAATATGTACCACTTATGTTTAGATCATGTTCTGGTCCCAGGAGACACCAATACTTCCTCGAGTCCCTTATCTTGTGAATGTTGATGGTATACTCTCTGGTCACTACCTCATTGATGGCAGAGCGTCCCTTCTTTTTCTCTCCACTTTTCTTTGCCGGAGCCATTCTGCCTGGGACCGGGTCAGAAAGCCATTATTGGGTATACTTAAGCCCCATAACCTCTCTCCTCTCACAGAAAGAGTTCCTAAGGGGGTTATGGTAATATTATCCTTATCGTACTATTCAAATCAATCTATTTTCATATCAATGCCAACTTATGGAGTCAGTCTTGTTTGTCTACTCTCATCCCCACTGTTTGAGAAGTATCCCTCCTTCTCATGTCAACATTTCTCACCAAGTTTTGGAATTTGAAGGAGCGGTTTTCATTTTTAGTGACTCCTAGAAAACTTTGGGCTGTCTTAGTTGGAGAAAACATAGGGATAAAGCAATAGTTGTATGCCATGAAACTGAGAATAGGTAATCAATCTTTCATTAGTTCAGGGGTCCACCATGGTAGTGTGACTTTCTTCTTAGTTAAATTCATTTGAAGTCTCCATCGGTCTGCTACAAGTATCAGGATTCATCCTGTGATTTCATTGTTATAAGGAGCTTCCAGGAAGTAACTTCCTTTTTTAGTGCAGGTATCATCTTCTCTGCAACTTACGGTTTTGAAGACTTGCCCAGAGTACCGATGGGGTGAGTTAACTTGCTCAGAGTCACACAGACAGTATATCAAAGGCAGGACTTGAACCTAAATCTTCTTGGTTTGGAAGTCAACTGTCTCTTCATTATACCACGTTGCTTCACTATTATATACCTCAGAAACACTGTCTCCTCCTTCTCAAATGGATCTTTCTCCAATTAAGCAAATAGCCAGCATTGATGTAGGCATTAGAAGGTGGCCTAAACCAATTTCATGTACTGAGCAGGGTCTTGGAAGTAAATGAAGATAGAATCAAGATGAGGGGACAGTCTGAGTCCAATTATGCTTAAAATACTGAGTTCATCTGGAAAACTGCAGGTATTGTACTAAGCAGTCTCTCACATCCCTATTAGCTTATAATCCTATATACTAGGCTCCTATTCATACAGGCCTACTGGTTTGGGGAAGCTAGGTGGTGCAGTGGATAGAGTGCTGGGTCTGAAGTCAGGAAGACTACCGCTTTATGAGTTCAAATCTAGCCTCAGATACTTACTAGCTGCATGACTCTAGAAGTCACTTAACCCTGTTTGCCTCAGTTTCTTCATCTGTAAAATGAGCTGGAGAAGGGAATGGCAAACCACTCTAATATCTTTGCCAAGAAAACCCCAAATGTGGCCACAAAAAAGTTGGAAATGACTGAACAACAAAAGTACTGTTTTGAAAAACTGTCTTCCCTTTACCACTTCCCATATCCAAATCAGGTCCCATGCTCTTTCAAATTAAGTTAGTAGCTTACCTATGAATTATGGCTTGAATCTTTATGGCTTACCTAGAATTATTTTTTCCACTCCAACAGCACTAAAAACATTCCTAAGGTCCAGATACTTGGCTCCAGGCCTGACTAGGAGCCACTGTTAAATAAGGCATATGCCTGTTCAGACCATTTTTTCAGTAATGCTGGTAGCAGAATTGGCCTCCCCCAAGAACCGCACAATGGTTGGATTATGCAGTGGCAACCAAAGGTTTCTAAGAATGAAGAGAGAGAAAGGGAGATGGGTTACTTTTGGAATAAATACTTCGTACTCACTCCTCATTCTGGCCCATTAGGGCTTAGTCTCCCACAGTACCAAGGTCCAAAGTGGACACCTGTCTATTGCTTCAGCTATCGCCTGGCAGGCACAAAGTTGTGGGAACCCTTTCTCTTTCTCTTTCTCTGAGTTCATGGGGCAAAGTTCATGGGGCAAAGAGGTCATGGCAACATAGACACTTGGAATACCCACTGTTTTGGATGTTTGATTCCAAGAATCAGGAATGAGTGGATTTGGGGCCATCTCTAGGGATTAGCTTAGCTGGGAATGGATGGGAAGGAGAGCATTAATACCCTATTACTTGAACTGGCAGTTAAGCTGGTCCATAAATGGTCCCACCACATGGTGGTACTATGCATTACTACCTATATATCTTTAGGCAAGTTCCTTCCCCTTTCTGGACCTCAGTTTCCTCATCTGTTAAACAAGGGGTTTAACCTAGATGATGACGTCTAAAATCCTATGACTAGTCTGATTCACACTATTTACCTTCTCTCCATCATAGAT